CTGAACGCTGTGTCGATCTCTCCATGTTTCTCTGTCTCTCTTCTCCAAACTGACCTCTCCATTCATCACGAAGTCCAAATGAACAAATCATTTCCTTCTCAAACAGCGGGACAAAAGGGAGACTTTTCCGACTCCCAAACAACGAGGCTCTTGGAAAAATTTCTTCCCATCTGTAGCCATCATAGATGAAGAGGATGAGTAGAAGTACTGCCCCAGGTGTATCATAAGAAACCAAACTCATCTAGGCCAGTCTTGTAGCCCTGCATGGGTAGCTCAGTTGGTTAGGGTGTTGCCCCGATATGCCAAGGTTGCAGGTTCAATCCCCGGTCAGGGTACATACAAAAATCAACCAATGACTGCATAAATGAGTGGAACAATGAAAATTGATGTTTTTCTCTCTCTCTCCAATATAAAAAAGAAAAAAAAAAAGAAAAAAAAAAAAAGAAATCAACCAGCCTTGCAGAGAAACTCTGAATATTTTCTAGTCCATCCATTTTGTCTGGCTAGCTTACACTGCCTAAGTCAAGTGGCACTAGATTCTGGTGAGGGATAAAAGAGACAAAGCTAACGTATTTCAGGCCTGCTCTGATACAAACTATTTGTGGCTGTAGACACGTAGTCATCTATAAGATGAACTTCCCAGGGATGTTTTCAGGAACCCTGCTAGTAGTTCAGATAAACAATATTGGCAAAAGTCAATATTCTGCCTGAGGAAAACTATCCCTCAGTATTTCAGAGGGAATAAAGGTCATGTCTTACTGACAGAACATCTCTGTGGCTATTAAGACTAAGCTGGACAAAATCAGCTAACTATAAGTCACAGCTTGAACATTTCTGTGTTTGACATCAAGATACAAAGTCTTGAGATGCAAGATTTGTAGGAGAAAAATCAGAGGAAAAAAAAAAATTAAACTCCTGGCCAATAAGATCATCATTGACAATAATAATTTGAAAAACAACCAGATGAACCCAAAACTCCAAAGCTATTCTAAGAGCGTGTTCCTTTGCCAGCTAGAAGGTGCAGGCATATGTTTTGAGTTTTTATCATTTTATTTGTGGGAAGATTTGGAAGCAGGATTATTTTATTGAAGTATCTTGCTGGGCCGAGACGAGCCCATTTCAACAAGGAGCGGTCAGCGGCAGGAAAGGCTGCGTCTGGTCAGGGCCGGGCAGCGGGAGCTGGAGGGTGAGCAGCTGGCTTCCCGAACGGAACCGAGCGTCCTGGATGAGTCAGCCACTTGGCCAGGCGACCGGGGGGCAAGCGGCTGGGGCCAGCACTGCAAGAACGCAGCGGCTCCCAGAGCTCAGAGCCCTTGCGAATGCACGGGGAACGGGATGCTGCACATGCGCCCCTGACGATACGTTTCCCTTTTCTGAGTCCCAAAAGCACGCCCCGCCGAGCGCTGTCATGCAGCTTTCCGGGGCTCTCAGCAGGCGCGTCCAGCCGGCGTGGGCCTGGCCGAGGACGAGCCCTCCAGCCCCAGCACCGCGAGCGCGCAGGGACCGTGGGAAGCCTGTCGCCCTGGCGGCCTCAGGGCCCCTGAGCCAGCATCCTGCCACAGCAGAACAGCACGAGCGCTTCGCAGGTGAGAGGGTGCGGGTGACAGAGGAGGCCCCTGGCGCTCCAGGCCACAGCCCAAGCTCCCGACAAGCGGAGCCGCCTGCACCTCCCTGGCGTGGCCCCACGCTTTGCGTGGGCCCTGAGCCCCGCCGCTCCGTGGGCAGGAAACAGCCCTCCTCGCCACCCTGGCAAACGCGACTCCAGGGCCGCCTCATCTGTGGCGCCCTTGGGGTTGGCTGCTCTCCCGTTCCCAGCAGCCTTACTGTGGCCCCGGGACACGAGGGTCTTGCACGCTCATCTGTGAGCTTCCTGCAAACAGCCACGTCAGGTTCTTAGAGTTTCAATGCACATACCAGGCACCGGCATCTGGCATCTGATGAATGTGACAGGTTACATAAAAGAGGTACCAGCTACGTTAGAGGGCAACAGTATATATACCCAAGGAGCTGGCATGCTGCTGCCCCTACTGCGCAGACGAGGCACAGCAAGGCTGAGCCGTCTGCCGAAGGTCGCCCTGCCCGTCAGAGGCCTGCTCGAGGCCCGTGGGAGGCAGGGAACAGGCCCCCAGTGAGGGCCATGTGCTGATTCTGGGACCGGACACTGGCGAGGGGACTGTGGAGGCGTGAGGAAGTGAAGGCTCTCCTGGTGACCCGGGTGGATCCAATGACCACAGGGTCCTTCGGAGACAGAGGCGGGAGGTCAGAGTTGGGGAAGGACCTGAGGCTACAGAAGCAGAGGTCAGAGAGGCGCAGAGGTTTGAGGACGCTGTGTGGCCGGCCTGGGGGATGAAGGGAGAGACCAGGAGCCGAGGAGCCTCTGAGCTCTGGAGGAGGACAGGGTTCGCGCCCAGAGCCTCCAGAAGGACCCTGCCCCCTACATCTGACTTCTGGACTCTGACCCCCAGAACCAGAAGATGGTAAGTTTGTGTTGTCGCAAGCCACTGGGTTTGTGGTCATTGTTTGGGTGGACACAGGGGACCCACACAGGGCCCTTGAACTGGACAGCAAAGTGGCCGCACTGGTACGGAAGGACAGGGTGCCTGCCCTTGCAAAGGTGGCTGCCAACGTCCTGAGGGCCACAGCTGGCCCTGAGGACGCCTCTGGGGTGATCTGAAGTGCTGAGAAGGGGCTGGCAGTGTAGACTGAAGTCACGAACCTGAGGTGGCTTCACGCCCGTCCCCACGCCCGTTGTTTCAGGAACGCTGAGTGTCCCGGGTGTGGGCACGTTTAGTCTACGTGCAGTGACACCCTGTGGCGAACGCAGCCCCGCCCGGGCAGAGGCCCCTCAGCCGGCGGGGCGAGGGGCTGGCAGCTCCTTCTGGGGACAGCGGTGTGGGCCCCAGGCTGCCAGGCCTCTGGCCGCACCCTCGGCCGCAAGGACAGTGAAAGTTCAAAGCAGGGAACTTCCTATCACTCTTGCTTTTGGAAAACCCAGTCCATGAGTCAGCTTGTCAGTGCGGCCGCCCGTCTGGCTCTCTGGCTGTGGTCAGGGAGCTTGAGGAGGATAATCCGATGAGATAATAAATACCAGGCTCGGTCATCGTGAATCAGAGGCGCGCAGCCAGCTGAGTCACACAGTGGCGGCGGCTCAGAGCCGCGGAGCTCCGCCGGACCTCCCTCTGGACCCGGGGCCAGACGTTATAACACAGCAGGGCACCGAAGGCACGTTTCGCCCCGAGGGCTCCGGTGCTGGGTGGGCTCTGGCCATGGGACGCTCCCCAGAAGGGGGCGCTGATCCGTCCCCTGTGACTCCAGAACCAGGCATTACCGAGTCTGGAGGGAGGCTGGGAAGGGACAGCCACCAGGGACACTCTATGCTGTGAAGACTTGGCTGGCAGCAGTAGCCACTGTCCCAAGGTGACCTCGCTTGGCTGAAAGGTGTGTGAAGTCACTAGGCCGTTCGGAGGCCATGCAGCTCTCTGGCACGTGAATAGTGAGCGCCTACCTTGTGCTTGTCATCGTGAAGAATCCCCCTCGCTTGACACGGTGAGAGGCCCCCACCCTGGCCTGGGGGTCCTCCCAGCACAGCGGGCAAGGGGCCAGGCCTGGGGGCTGGCCGGGGCCCCCCCGACGGCGCTCTGAGGCCCCAGGCGCCGCAGGGTCCTCCTGCCCCCAGCCCCAGGGCAGCCACGAAGCCCGAGGCTCGTGGAAGAACTGGGTGCGAGAGGGCGGGGCTGCATTAGCCCCCGATTGTGGCGCCCCTCAGAGCGTTCAAGGGCAGAGGGGCTTGTTGGGCTGGCGTGAGGAGGGGCTCCACCGCAGGACCCAGCCCGGGACACTCCGTCTTTGTCCTCCCTGCGTGGGTCATCGCTTTCACACACATTTCCCCGCCACGGTTTGGTGCTGAGCCATCACTTTCTGCCCTAATTTGCTCGCCACGTCACTCTTGAAATCAAAACCTCACCACAAAGTCTGACAAAAGTCCATATGGGATCTCCTCCCCCGACAAGGGATCACCGCAGCGGCCTTGCCACCGGCGGGGCTCTCTGACCAGAGCCGAGGTCACCCCTGCGGCCAGTGGGAGGGGGGAAGGACAAGGCCGGGTGGGGCCTGCAAGTTGGGAGATGCTGTGCGTGGGCCTGCGGCGGGTCCCCGAAGGAGGGGCCGCGTGCACAGGAGAGACACCCCGGGGACCGAGTCTTCCCCTTTCGTCCCTGAGGGGGCTCTGGGCCCCAGTGGTCTGTGTTCAAGTTCGGCCCTTGACTCGGGACACTGACGTCTGGCCTCTGAGCCTGAGCTGCACCTTCTGTAAACTGTAGCCATTGTCCCTGCTCCAGGGTCATGGGAGGGCGAGAAGGGACAAGTCGTACCGAGCACCCAGCCCAGAGACGCCCACACGAGGAGCGGTGAGTGGGCCGCCTCTAACTGCCCCGCCGCCTTCTGCCTGGTGCTTCCTCCGGACGCCCGAGCCTGTCACTCTGCCTTCAGAACCACCGTGGCACTCAAGGCCCCAACCCCCGGTGTCCACGGTCTTCCTCCGAGCTCTGGGCCCAGGTTCCACCCCCACGGGCCCTTCCACGGGCCTCCCGTCTGGATGCCGGCTGCCCGCTCCCCGTCCTTCCCGGTCACAGGCCGCTCGTGCGCCAGGTTGGGGCGGGCTTCCCGGTGCTGCCCTCGGCCCCTTCAGCGGCAGCGACTTTCTGTGGCACCCACCCTCCACCTGGCGGGGGTCCCTGCCTGAGTTACAGGAAGCACTTAGGCAGACAGAGCGGCGATAGGAAGTTCTGCCCGTCCACCTGTCTGTCCCGCTACCTGACGAGCTATCTGAGAGCAGGGGCCATAGATGATTCATCCCTGTCACCCACGGGCACACAGTAGGTGCTCACACGTCCCTCATGGGACAGCGCTGAGCTCCTCAGGCCTGGCCCAGCCCAGCCAGGGAGCCAACCCCTGCTGCGGACGGTGCGCCTGCCCTGCCCCGAGCGGGAGGCACCCCGTACCTGGTCCCCAGAGGGTGACGCACTGCTGCTCGTGGGTCTGACAGATGCCGTTGTAGCAGTAGCCGTCCACGCCCTGGCAGGGGTGCCCGTCGTGCAGGTACACGTTGGCTGGGCAGTGCGGGCTGGCCCCGGAGCAGAACTCCGGCAGGTCGCAGGAGTTCCCGGGGCCCCTGCACGCCGTCCCCGCGGGCTTCAGCTGAAAGGAGAGGGCGGTGAGGGCGGGCGCTCGGCAGGGAAGGGGGCGCCTGTCCCCGCGGCGCTCCTGGGGTGGACCATGCAGCTGCCTGTCCTCGTGGGTCACATAAAGGGGCACGGGTTTCAACGCCCGTCCCTTTAGAGCAGAAGGAGCCACGGAGTCTTGCTCTGGTGACAATGGCCTTCCTGCTATGCGAGGGACATCAGGGGCAGCCTCTTAGCGTCCTGCACCTTCGGGTTGTCTGATGGCCCGACGAGCTGGTGCTGGCACCTGCCACTTGGGGGCAGGGGAGCGAAGGGAGTGTGGCCTCGTTTTTCAGAAGATCTCTGGTCACCGATGCCATCGCATGTTTTAAGGCGAGGCTGACAGCTATGGGGTTAGCATTTGTGGGCAAGTTGACAAAAATAATTCCAAGGGCACGATCCTAAAAGCTATTTCAAGTTGCCCTCAGCTCACGGAGCTGGAAACCTATCTGGGGCTTTATGGGGCGCGGTGCAGAGGAAACGAAGGAGGGAACGGCACACTCGGCCGACGCCGTGTCGCTTTGCGGCTGAAGAAATTAGGGCTCCGTGTGTCTTATCTGAGGCTGCGCGGTGTGACGTCCCTGCCCACCTGCGTCCAGGAACCTCCTGCCACCCGCTGCCGCTGCCGCTGCCGCGAGCCGGGGCGCCAGCTGTGTTCACGGTCCCATTGGTTAATCGTGAGCAGAAAGGGGATCAAGGGTGTTTTTAAGCAGGACGTAAAATGTCTGCCTGCACTTCCAAATCACGGGGCTGTCAGAGGGAGGTCCCAGCAAGCAGGACACCCAGGTCCGTTGCTTCATTAGAAAGAAAGAAAATCCTGCCCTTGGAACCTCTGAGTCAAAAGCTCAGGCCTCTGCTCCAGGTCTCAGCTCAGAATAAGGAAACAGACCATGGAACTGCCCGCGATGGCGGTGGGAACGGCAAAGGTGTGAAACCGCCAGGCCGGGCCGGGCCGGGCCGGGGGCGCCTTCTGTTCAGGGGACAGCAAGATCAGGACATTGACACGTGAACCCCTGGGACAACCTTCAAGGCTCCCCCGGCCCAGCATCAGGCGTGCGTGGGATCCAGCAGAGGGAGCGGACATGAGGCTGAGTAACAGGAGTGGGGACTTGTTCTCGGGTCCTCCTCTGGTGACAGTGACAGGCCTGCCCGTGCCTCCGGCAGCACAGCCGGAGCTCAGTTTTTCAGTCCAATTACTTTTCAGCTCATAAATACCGATCACAGATGACTTAGCATGAAAATGTGCCTTTCACATGGACATTGGGAGATGCTGAAAACAGGAAGTGATCATACCAACCCCACTGAGGGGTTACTGCCTCCACCGCAGTGGGTGCTGGGAAAGGGCCCCACCCTGCCGCTGGCCCCGTGGAACCGCCCGGGCCTGCGGGCCACCCCAGGGCCAGGAGACCTCACCTGGCAGTCTTCGCAGCACAGCCCGTGTGCGCAGACGGCGTCCGGCCTCAGGGCGCAGGTGGTGGCATTGCAGCAGAGGTTCGTGCATTCCTGGGGAGGGAAGGGGGTTTGTTTGACAGGGTCGTAGGGAGCAGCCACTCAAGGAAAGCAAACGTTGGCCGTGCAGGGACGCCAAAGGGAAGAAAGAACCAGGCGGCCCGGCTCCTGAGCTGAAAACGGAGGGTTATCTCCGTCTGTAAGAAAGCAGAGTCCTGTGGGCGTTTATGGACCCGGTGGGGGGGGGCGGTGAGCCTCTGGGGAAGAGTCAGAAGCACTCAAGCGCCCTTTGTGAAGCGGGGGAGCCTGAACAGGGGGACTGGCGAGGCGGCCTGCTCAGGTCGGCCGCAGCCGGGGCTCCGGAGGGAAGGGGTCTCCCATTCCTGCAGGTCTACGGCAGTGAGCTGCATCAGGATCGCTAGAACATTGTGAACTCAGTTATCGAAAGATGTACGTAGGCGCAGGGAAACATGGCTCTCCCAAGGCCCACCGCGTCCATCAGGAGCACACACACTGGCAGGCAGTGAAGTCCAATCGGTAGCGCTTGGAGCACAGTTCCTTGCCATCCAACCCGATGCCGTCGATGAGACTCTCGCTCAGTGCAGGCGGCTGCTGAACCTGACCTGACTCCTCAGCTCAGAAATGCACAGGGGTGTGAGTGATCCAGAGGCAGGAGGGTTGAGGGCTGTGCCCACTGATTGGCAAGGGATTTAAACGGAGAGGTCAAATATTCGATGCTCTCTGAAATATTGTCCTCTCTGAAATTAAAGTGAGAGAGGAAATGAGCTCCTTTGTTATGCTGTGCATCACAAGTGCCCAGTGTTTTCCTAACAGCGGGGGGAAAAAGAGGTTGACCTCTTGTGCTTAGCTCTCGACGAAAAGTTTATACAAATTTTCCTGGTGTCTTTATGAAGTCTTGGTATCGCAAACTCTCCAGTAACTTGGAGCTTAGGCATTTTTAGAAAAAAACTGAATACTCAAAAGAAGGAAGAGTTCATGGAGTCTTTAGTATTGATTAATTTATCGTGTCCTTTAATTTTATTTAATATATGATGTATGCTAAAGAAATTACATACTGTTGGCTACAATGAAGCCAATCCTATACTGTTCTAATAGCATAATGTTTCATTCTTACAGACCATCTTGTGTGAATGAATTTGTAATTAGTATCATTAATGCAATTAATTAAGTTTTGTCAATAATCCAGAAGATTTATGGCTAACCCAGCTATCTGAATCGAACCCTGTATAATGTTATGAATTTTATTCTCATTTGGTGGTTGCTATGTGCTGCTATTATAGATACACCCAAAGTTATTAGATTTTAAATTTGTTCAAGGACTTTATACACGTCCGCAGTCTATAATATATACAATAAGATAAGATTGCTAAGCAGAAATCATGGCTGTGACTTTCAAGACGTATGGGTTTCTAACTCGTGGACTTAACCACCCTAAAAAGTTTAGGAACCTGTTTTCTTTTGAAAGACTCTGTCCCTCGCATTCCTGATCCATGCCATCAAATGGAAAGCAACATCATCCTTTTCATTAGGACCTCAATGGCCCTGCTAAGGACACATGAGCCACATTACAGATTTCCTTGTGCTAAGCGAAATAGGCCAGCCTCAGACTGGGTCCTAAGGTCCTTTAAGAACTACCTCCCCACCCCAGCAAATCACTGAATAATATAAGCAGCAGCTCACGTGGAAATGCAGCCAAGTGGAAGGGCTTTGACTTCAAAGGGGATTGATAATGTGAGAAAGAGAATGAGGTTTAAAAGCTATTTGCACGCTCCTGCATCCCAGGGACTTGACGCAGGAGGGGGTGCTCATTCCCAGCCCTGTTAGCTGGAGGCGGGGTGGGGGGGGTGAGCTGTCCCGTCCTTGGGGCTGATATAAATCCAATGCCCTGCACGGGAAGCTCTCCCCAGTCACCTGCCTTTTTAATGATGCAGAATCTACCTCTTCTGCAGTACTCTACTTATCAGAGGAGACCAACTCTTCCTCTGCTGATCCAGTTATTAATTTAGGACTCGACAGAGAAGTTCGGTAGAGCCAATGAACGCCAAGCCTCCGAAGAAGGAAGAGTAATGACGCCGTGAGCGAGGTGTCTGCAGATGCCCTGATTGTCACTGTCGTGTGTGGGTCCCCTGTGGATGTGGACTCTTTAGTTCAACGCTGGGGCCGGGCAGCAGTGCGCCTTTTTGAAAGTGGTGGAGATGAACCATGGGGGAGCGCAGGAGCAGGAGCTGGTTCCGGCGGAGAGCTGGCGACGCGCAGAGCCCCCCAGGTGCGTGGGCCAATGAGAAGCAAAGGCACGGGGAGGATTTCCTGGGCCCGAGCACGGGGGGCGGGGCTACAGAGCCCAGGTGAGCAGGGGGGACTGCATGTTTCGGTCAAAGCAATTTGGAGGCTGGAAATGGGCTGTCACAGTCTCAGACACAGTTTGAGCTTGAACATTGAAAAGGGGGAAACAAAAAATGAGGCCCTGGCCAAGGCGTACAGCTGGTTAGTGTCATCCCGATAGGTCAAGGTTGCAGGTTTGACCCGCAGTCAGGGCACATGCAGGAACCAACCAATGATTCCATAATCAACCAACGTGTCCGTAAGTGGAACAACACGTTGATGTTTCTCTCTCTCGCAAATCAATAAATAAAAATTAAAAAAAAAAATTAAAAAGTGAGGCAAAGGCTCACCTGTGACTTTGGAACATTTCTTGGAAGAACTCTGGTTGAGGAGAATGAGAGTTTTTTTCAAGTGCCAAGAACTTATCCTGTGAAATAAGGACCCCAACCGCGGCCATATAAATTTGGGAATTACATGTGAGTGAAATTTGGCTTAACACAAGGAAAGCGTTTGAGTTAATCCAATCCGCCCTGCAATGCCATATGCTGCCTGGCCAGAGAGTGAGCGTCCTGCCAAAGCGGAATGACTCCTTGACGGTGATGAGAGAGAGGACCACAGCATCAGCGGATGGCAAAACTCAGGCGTTCAAGCATTTGCTGACAGCTGGTGGCGGTTGTGGAGATGCTGATGGTGGGGATGGTGGGGATGCTGATGGGTGGGATGGACGGGGATGGTGGGGATGCCGATGGGCGGGATGGACGGGGATGGCGGGGATGCCGATGGGCGGGATGACGGGGATGACGAGGATGCCGATGGGCGGGATGGACGGGGATGACGGAGATGCCGATGGGCGGGATGACGGGGATGACGAGGATGCCGATGGGCGGGATGGACGGGGATGACGGAGATGCCGATGGGCGGGATGGACGGGGATGACGGGGATGCCGATGGGCGGGATGGACGGGGATGACGGAGATGCCGATGGGCGGGATGACGGGGATGGCGGGGATGCCGATGGGCGGGATGGACGGGGATGACGGGGATGCCGATGGGCGGGATGACGGGGATGGCGGGGATGCCGATGGGCGGGATGGACGGGGATGATGGGGATGCCGATGGGCGGGATGACGGGGATGGCGGGGATGCCGATGGGCGGGATGGACGGGGATGATGGAGATGCCGATGGGCGGGATGACGGGGATGGCGGGGATGCCGATGGGCGGGATGACGGGGATGGCGGGGATGCTGATGGGCGGGATGGACGGGGATGGCGGGGATGCCGATGGGCGGGATGACGGGGATGGTGGGGATGCCGATGGGCGGGATGGACGGGGATGACGGAGATGCCGATGGGCGGGATGGACGGGGATGACGGGGATGCCGATGGGCGGGATGACGGGGATGGTGGGGATGCCGATGGGCGGGATGGACGGGGATGACGGGGATGCTGATGGGCGGGATGGACGGGGATGACGGAGATGCCGATGGGCGGGATGACGGGGATGGCGGGGATGCCGATGGGCGGGATGACGGGGATGACGGGGATGACGGGGATGCCGATGGGCGGGATGGACGGGGATGGCGGGGATGCCGATGGGCGGGATGACGGGGATGGCGGGGATGCCGATGGGCGGGATGGACGGGGATGATGGAGATGCCGATGGGCGGGATGACGGGGATGGCGGGGATGCCGATGGGCGGGATGACGGGGATGATGGAGATGCCGATGGGCGGGATGACGGGGATGGCGGGGATGCCGATGGGCGGGATGACGGGGATGGCGGGGATGCTGATGGGCGGGATGGACGGGGATGGCGGGGATGCTGATGGGCGGGATGACGGGGATGGTGGGGATGCCGATGGGCGGGATGGACGGGGATGACGGAGATGCCGATGGGCGGGATGACGGGGATGGCGGGGATGCCGATGGGCGGGATGACGGGGATGGCGGGGATGCCGATGGGCGGGATGGACGGGGATGACGGGGATGCCGATGGGCGGGATGACGGGGATGGCGGGGATGCCGATGGGCGGGATGACGGGGATGGCGGGGATGCCGATGGGCGGGATGGACGGGGATGGCGGGGATGCCGATGGGCGGGATGACGGGGATGGTGGGGATGCCGATGGGCGGGATGGACGGGGATGACGGGGATGCCGATGGGCGGGATGACGGGGATGGTGGGGATGCTGATGGGCGGGATGACGGGGATGGTGGGGATGCCGATGGGCGGGATGGACGGGGATGGTGGGGATGCCGATGGGCGGGATGGACGGGGATGGCGGGGATGCCGATGGGCGGGATGGACGGGGATGACGGGGATGCCGATGGGTGGGGGTGGTGGGGTGGTGGTAATGTTGTCATTGTGACAATGACGATGGTGGGGGTGGCGGTCACAGCTGGGAAGGTGGTAGTGGTCATTGGGGGTGGGCGGTGGGGATGGTGCTGGAGGTGGAGATGGTGACGGTGCCAGTGGTGACGGTGGAGATGGTGAGGTGGCAGCGCCGCTGGTGGCCCTGCTGCAATGGGGAGCAGGTGACGCTGACACAGTCACCCCACACCTGGCAGCCCATGGGCCCATGAAGAGTCGTCCTAGGTATTTAGGTTAATGAACAACTGAGACAAGCCATTTCTAAGTCATCATGGCCTCTCCTGAGAAACGTGGGCAGCTGAAGCTGATTTTGCTTTTCTCTTTGGTCATGAGCAAAGTCTCCGAGGGGTCTCCCCTTCGCATGCCCCACCCCGTCACGGCTTCACGTTTTCCTCCGCTGACCTGAGAGAGTTCCCGCAACCCCGTAACGGGCCTTGCTTGTGCATGGCTACCCCCCGCCCTGTGCCTTGTGAGCCAAATCAGCCGCCACTGTGAGCAGAACCTTGGATAAAGCCCCCTCTGCAGCCCCCAACATTCACGCCCAGCTTTCTTGCGGAAATGGTCAGACTGAGACCAAACTCATTCCTGCGGGTGTGGGGAACCTCGGAGACATGGAGAAGGACGTGACGAAGGTTCTACAGAGCTGTTTGTTGGACGAAGACGGGAGTCCGTGGTCTGTCCCTGAGTCTCAGCAGGGTTTCCCCCACTTTGAGTAGCTCTCCAAAGGCGCCCTTCCTCAGCCCCACCGAGCCCGTCTGTGAACCGAGCCAAGCCGCTGTGGGCTTGTCAACCGCTCCGGCTGCACGGGCTCTCGGGAGGGAGCCCCACATGCGGACTGCCTGCTGCACCCGCTCCTCGCTTTGATTCATTCTAAGCACCACCTCCCCCCAGCTCCCAGGGGGCACTTGTCTTACCAGGAGGCCTCCCTGTCTCCTGTCTTTCCCTTTCCCTCTCAAGATTATTCAGAGATTAAAAAGCAGCTGCTGTAATTTTTATGCTGATTAACGTTACCTTGGGCCCTACTGGAACAAGACAATTTCCCGACACTGGCTGGCAAATACGGTTGAATAAAGCCCTTTGCTGGATACAAATGTCCTCTGCTTTTGCTTATTGCTTCTGAAAGCTAACAAGCAGAGAGGCGGGAGGCCCGGAGCCTGGGGCGGGCGTGCAGAGGCGGCTTCGGCTGCCGCACGGGGTTTCAACTTGGGAGGACGCGCTCGGTGAAAAATGCATGTTGCTTATTCAAATTCCCCTCGTTCAAACGCCACACAGAGAGAAAGAAATGGTGCTTATTAGCCATTAGAAGCCGGGAGGCCAAGGCTTTCTTTTCTGTCAAACTCAATGCTAAATGCTTTTCCACTGTTCTTGTCCCCACCTTGCCAAGAACACTGTGTCCCTCGATAGGGAAGGTCTTTATCTTTTTAAGCCTGTGATATAACTTACTTTGTGCCGTAGTTAAAATTCAAGAAGGCTACCTGGCTTGGGGGCCTGGCCAAGTGGCCGTAGAGGACTGTGCTGGCCTCAGTTTCTAGCCCCGCCCTCCGGCTGCCGAGCCCTGCCGTTCCGGCTGCGTTGCCCGGATGCGCCCCCCGAGCTCGGGCGCCTCTTACCTCTGGTTCCCCACAGTCACACTCCTCTCCTTCCTCGACGTAGCCGTTGCCGCACTTCGGGCCCCCGAAAGCCTGCTTGACCTCCGGCAGGTTGAAGAGGCACATGCCCACGCCCTTCTCCAGGCTGGCCTCCAGGTCCTTCCGGCTGCAGCTGCTGAACACCATGGGGAAGGGGTGCCTGCGGGGGGGCCGAGGCGTCAGGGTCACAGCTGGCCCCGCCTCGGCCCCCCTCCTGTGCTGCGACTCCCGGGCTCCACCTGCGACACCCGCCCGCGGGCTCAGCGAGCCAAGGCTACGACACGCAGTGCGGAGCGAGGAACGGCTGGGGGTGCTGAGTCCCACCGCCGCAGTGCCAGCGCCACCGACAAGGGCTGCTTTACCCTAAAGGAAACGATCTTCCTGCGGTTCTCAAACCAGCCAGGGAAGACAGGGTCCCGGGGCCGTGTTAACCGTTCCAGCAGGACGATACGATGGAATGTGAGTCCCTAGGACCTGTGGTCTAGAGTGTGGACACATGCTGATGTCCTTACTGGAGAGCGGAAGGAAGGAAGGAAGGAAGGGGCATGAATAACTGTGCTTAGCAGTTCCAGGGGTCCAGGACACAGCGCCACGGTGGGCCAGGGCTGGCCGACACTGGCAGGGGTGTGCGAAGGGCCAACCCCTGTTTTCCCCCTGCACAGACAGAAGAGTGTGGAGGGGCCTAAAGGCAGGGCCTGCTCTTGCCTCAAAATGCCAGGGAGACAAAGGGACGTGGCTGCGTAGGCCACCTTCCCAGCGGAGTTCACGTTCCTGTTCCGCAGCCAGAGGGGCCGCCCCGCCCCCTGCACCTGGGTGGGCTGTGTGGCTAATTTGAGACATTGGCTCGCGATCAGAGGTGGTGATGCAGGTCACTTCTGGCTGAAGGCATTTAAGTGATTGTTCCTCTCCAGGCCAGCTGAGCTCAGGGTGCGCCAGCGTCCTAGGGCTCGGATGTGGTGTCGCCTGGTCCTGCCTCCCTGTAGGGAGGGACGCCACCCGCAGCGCCGAGCTCCCACTCTGGAGGGCCATTCCGAAGGGAAACAGCTCTGCCATGGCCAGCCCCTGGAAGTCCGGGCTTTGCTACTGCATGAACTGCAGTCACAAACGCATATAGAGTCTCTGTCTGTTCTACATATGCATTTTCACACGTCCTCAGGCATCAAGGACTAGAAGGGACAGGCAGGCCAGGACCCGGAGGCCTGCCTACTCAGTGAGAAAGTAGGGCCTGCTGACCAGCCGCCCCGGCACCCTCTCCCCGCGCAGACGGTCACAGGACAGCAGCATCACTGGGTTCCAATTGGCGGGCCAAACCAATGCACGCTGCCCTTCCCCGAAGACGGTAGACGTGCCACTATTTCACGATCGAGTTTGGCAATTTTTCAAGACCACAGCCAAGCTGGTAATGCTGCATTGTCTGCACAAGAGTTTTCTATCAATCTCAGCTTATTAACTCTGGCGTATAATTCTAATCAACAAATACATTAATAAACAAAAGTCCTGCTCTCAGATGCAGAATAAACAAACCATGACTGATCTGTCCTGCTGTCACAAAGTCCCTTTTGACATTTTTGTAACTTCCCTCAGTAGACAGTTTATTCCAGGTACCAGAATGCTGCTGAATAGCTTCAGAAGACTATCCACAAGAAAAGTCCTTATTTTATCAACTGAGGAGGAGTTTGCATTGGAACAGCGATGGTGCATTACCCAGGGGGCTGAGCAGAGTTCTCCCCCCGCACAGGGATGCGCCTCCCCCCGATGGTGATGGGACCTGTCTCCCTGCGCAGGAGGGGGTTTCCCTGGCATGTGTGCAGCCCAGTGCCTGACCTGGGAGACTAGACAGCGTTCCCACTCAATGATATGCCGCCGGGCGTTGTGACAAACACTTATCAGTTCATTCTGGAAGGAAACTGATTTCCTGACTCTGTTAGCAGCTAATTAGGAAAGACACTAGCATAGCTGTGAGCCTCGGGAAGGGTTTACGGCGGTTTACGGCGAGAGCAACAGTCGCTGAGAGCAGCCCGAAGGAGCCGCTGTCTGACTTGCCCGCCTCACCAGCGAGCAGCGGATGTGCCCCAGGCGGCGCCAGTCCCAGCTCTGACGGGACCCCCCTTGTCACCTTCTTTCAGAGAACGCACATGCGCTGGGCTTTTGGTGGGAGGCTGACTCTAAAGAAAAGGGACAGAAACAAGATGAGTGGGATCAGCCTAGGTCCAGGAGTGGAACTCGGGCGCGTGTGGGAGAGGGGGACAGAGCAGCGCGTGGTCGGCACGGCCTTGGCGAGTCTGTCTGGGTGTGGCTGTCTGGGAAGTACCGTTAGCTGTGCCGTAATACGCGTCGGTCTCTCTTAGCTCTCTCCTGTTCTGGGGAAGGACAAGTCCCAAATGCTTGTCAAGTTCTGTCACCTGGAGTCACGGATAAACAACATCCATCCAGGTCACAGGTTTCAGCCTCACTCTGAGGGACTGTGTCTGGCACACTCCTCAAGGAGCCTCTGTTTTAGCCACAACGTGGCGCCGCCAGGAGTGGCCTTGATGGATTCGCTGATGCCATACCAGGACCTCTGGCAGGGCATCCACGGACAGCACAGAGCTGGACCTCGCACCGTGTGGCCTTACTGCACCGTGTCACCTGCCATCCACATCGGGGCAATGAAAGCCCCCACCCGGGACTGCCGGCCGCGGCTCACCGCTCCTGCCGCGGCTCCTGTGGTGGCCCCCCACCCCCCGGGGCCTTCCTGACTTGCTCAGAGTGACCCCGGTGGTGCCCCTGGGGGAGGCCACGCTCCCCCAAACCTGCCTGCCTCTCCGCGGACTGGCCAGTCAGCATTCCCTCCGCACCCCCCCCCCTGCCATCATCCAAGGACCCCCTTTCGATGACAAGGCAGCGAGGCCCCGGGACGTCCTGCCCCAGGGGCGTGTCTTCGCTGGTCTGTCCTTCTGTGAGTCCTCCTCGGGGAAGCCACGTGCCTGTTTCATCTGAAATAGGATATTCCTGAACTCTGGGCATGTAGAAGAAGTCCAGCTTTAGATGAAGGCAAGCAGAGACTACTGTTTGTCATCGTCCGATTATTTTGCAAATATTTATTCAACACCCACGATGCGCCAGGCGCTCTTCTAGGGGAAGGCCTATAAACTGTGCAGCAGCCCTGGCTGTCACGGAGCTGGCTTCCAGGGGGGCAGACAGACCTTCACAAGCTAAGGGCGCAAATTGTGTTGGAAAGGGACGCGTGTAGAGGAGAAAAAACAGAGAAGGGGGAAGGATGTGTGGGAGGGTGGTCAGGGAAGACCTCACTCGGAGGCCCTCAGGGGAGGGGTGGGGTGAGGGACAAGCTAAGGGCACAGCTGGACGAAGGACGTTCCAGGCAGAGGGAAGAGCCGGGCAAAGGCATGTGGGCCCATGCGGTGACCTAGAGGGATTTGCTCCTCAGGACAGAGGCTGGCTCTTCCTTCAACGGCACATCCAGGGAGGCGACCTCTTCTGCAGAGAAGGCCGTGGAGGTCACGCCGAAGGCCAGAACACAGCCATGGCGTATCGTTCAACGGAACGGGGGTTGCCCTGCACCGAGCAGGTGCTGAGAGCGCTGGGAGTATTTCTCATAGGAACTCCAAACTCTTATGATTTCCCCCTTTTTCAAAACCAAACTATTTTTGATGGGCAAACAAGGATCCCTTCTTCTGCTAAGATCCTCCGGTTGACTGGCGTGTAGGAATGAGAGTATCTAAAAATTACATCTAACCCAATGGCCCTCCCCCAAAAAACAGAATTTAGTCATGTCAAATAATTTCAAATCTCAAGAGATAAGGACACGTGATGGTGCCAGATACCAGAGTCCTCTAATTACAACACAGTCCTAATCTAGACGCATCTGAACACCTACTACACCCAAATAGTTACTGGTGGCCCAGGGTCTAGCGCGCAATACATGTCATTGATTATTGGCTTAAAAAGTCAAAAACAGCTCATAGGTTTGCATGAAAGATGTGCCGGGCGACCAGGACCAGGGCTGGGAACCGCTCCCCAGAAAGGTCAGGCCTCCCCGGGCAGGGCCTGTGAGAACATTGACTCCAGAGACGGGTCCCGCCTGAGAGAGCAACACCAGCAAGATGCTGGGCACGGCCAGCGCCTGCTTCCTTGGTGTCAGCTCTGCCTCTAGGCGTTTGGTGGCAGCTAAGTTAAACCTTTTGGGTAGCAGATTCACGATCCCTTCACTTAGTCACTCGAGAACTAGTTTTCAAGCTTTGAGGGGGATGTCAAGATAGTTCAAATATGGCCGGAGCTCTTTCCACTGTCCCCTTGCCAGACCTTCGTCAAAGGAACTATTGGACTCACCCACTCCCCACGCTGTCTCTCCATCCATACTCATAGAATATCAACATATTTACATAAAGAAAAATAAATATTTCATGCATGTTTATCATACACAGGATATAAAATCTACAAAGTTATGTGTAATTATAATGTATAGAAATATACATTATATATAATATATACATTGTAATATACATTGTAATATAATATAGAAATTATATTACAAATAAAATCATCTATAATAATTTAATAGATATATACTTATATGTTACATGTATTTTTTTGAATAACAATGTATTGCGAACCTACTTTAGCTAGATGATCTGTTGGGCAAACTTCCTCCCAGTAACGTATTTTTTCTTGTTTTCTACTCATGTCTGAACAACCCAGTGAGACAGGTATTATTATGCCCATTTTGCAAATGAGGTGGAGACTTGATTGAGTTCCCCATTAGGGGATGGCAGAGGCTGGATTTGAGTCCGCTTCAGTTATTAAAAACTGCCTCCTCTCCCTCATGGAGGTCAGCTCTGCACTGAGCCATCCGTGCAAAACTGCTGACACCAGAACGGTGTCCCGTGACCCCCGACGGCTGGGCCCTGCCGTTTCCCAGCCTGCCAGGATTGGAGGCCCTCGGTGTGGTCCCAGCATCTGCGTCACCTGGCAGCTTCCTGGGTGAGCGAAGGCTCAGGCCCTGCACAGACCCGCTAGGTCAGAGAGCCCAGGGGCGGGGCCCAGCAACCTGTATTTTATAAGCTCTCCGGGCGGACATCAAACTGACGATTTAAAAGTATAGCCTAGCGGCTTTTAGTCAATTCACAATGGTGTGTGGCTGTCGCCACTCTCTAATTCCAG